CCGACGTTGCCAGTGAAGGTGGTGAAGGCTGAACAGAATGACGGCGAGTGGAACCAGCCAGGCTGCTCGGACCAGCCTGGGACCAGCCGTTCAGTGTCCACCATGACTATCCCCAAGGAAGAAAGCCTGCTGGAAGACATGCCATGTGACAACGGTGGGCTGCACGACTCAGGTAAGTGCCTTCCAGAGCGGTGAAGCCATGTGTAGACTTTACGGGGTGTAGGCATTGAGGCAGGGCAATTTGCAGCATCTCCATAGACCTCTTAGGAGGATAGTTATGTCCCAGTGCCATTGTCTTGTTCAAAGACAAGATGTTTGGTGAAGAACTTTGTTCCTTCAACTGCTTGCATAATTTTAGGCTACATGACGCTGCATTTTGGTCCTCTCTCCCCCATAGCATCTTGCCCAGGGTGTGCTCTGTTGGCTTGAGGGAGATTTGGTCCTTTTTCAGGTGGACCCTGAGGGCACAGTTGCTCCTTGCTTGCTTCCCACCCACCTTGCTGGGTGTCCAGGGCCACCGCTCGGCACAGTTGGTGATGCTGATCGGTGGACCATCGGCCCTGGCAATCACTGCAGGGGTGGACAACCTCACATCCAAAAAGTGACACATCTTTTCTACCTTGTCAGATAGCGATATTCTCCGCTTGGACAGCTTTGAGGAGGACAGCAGCGACGAGGAGTCGATGGTGAGTGCAGCTAAAGGGCTTTCGGTGCTTGCATTACTCAGTGTTTAAGCCGTGAAGACTGGACCACTTGGTGCTTCCAGACCTTCAGAACCATCCCATAATCCCCCTTAAAGTCTGGCAAGGAACTTCTGAAATCCTACCTGAGTACCAAAATAAATCCCCTGTAGCTCTCCTCCACTTCTGGGGCAATTGGGCTGCCCAGCAGCTTGGAGACCTTGGTAGACACCATCTTGGTGATGGCAAGGTGGTGAGCAGCCAAAATGAAGGCCAGCAAGAAGAGGCAGTCCAAAACCTCACCTCCTCTTTGAGGCTATGGATGGATGGGGTTTTGTTGTTACTCTGCAGCACTGAGCAAGTTCCCATGATGGTCTGTGCGACCAAAAGCTGGTGACCAGCTCTTGAGAAGAGGTTTCAGAAATGGGCAGCTTCCCTTCCCTGCCTGCTGTTTGCTGGGTGAGGCCCTTGGCTCACAGCCAGAGGGGAGATGTTGGGTAGCCCCAACTTTTCTGTCACTTTTGAGTAGAAAGCCAGTTGGGAAGGATCCAAGCAAGCCGTCCCGTGTGGATGTGCATGGAGTATGCACGTCACTTTGTTTTGTGGTGCTGGAGGTGGCAAGTCTTCATGACCAACCAGAAGGGCTTATTACACCCTAAGTCCTCTAGCAGACACTTTGAGTAGATCCCTGAGCTTTGGTAACCTCCAGGACACACAAGCACCCAGAGCTTCTGCCCTGGTTCTTCTTGTGATGTTTATTAAAAGTAAATTGTGTGCTCTTCCAGGACCCCAGTCTGCTAGATGACCTCAGCAACATCCTCGATGAGAGCACCAGTGAAGACTACCTGGGTCTTCCCATCAGCAGCCAGAAGACACTGGACACGAGACAAGGATCCCTGGTCTTCTTTGACCTGAAGATTTTGAGTAAGATCCTAAGTGGGGAGGTCCCATGGTGCAGCCAGCTCAGATCCCCACATCTGTCAGTGTCTTTTCTTTTTTTTTTGGTGGGGAGGGGAAGTTCAGGCATGTCCACCGTGGCCTTGTCTGCATAAGGGAGAGGACAATATCCTGAGCAATCAAGAAGCCTTACCTTTGAGTTTCAGAACATTTGGAGGAACATGGAGCCCATAAGGCAATGGGGAGATTTCTCTAAGATAGCTCAGCCAGTTAACCAGCCCTTGCGGCATTGTGTCAAGGATGGGCTCCCCTGCTTCTCCTTCCCATGGGCCAGTCTCTCCTGGGCGAGGTGGATTTTACTTTTCAAGCCCATCTCCTTAGTCCACCCTCAAAAAGCTGTAAGAGCCCCCAGCTGCTGTTGGTGGTGAAGGCTGTTAGAGGCTGAGCAGCACAATCGATGTTTTATTTTCCTACTGAATAAGAGACTAATTCTTCCTTTTCCTCCCTCACCAATCCTCTACCTCTTCTCTAGAAAATGAAAGCATCCAGATGATGGTGGTAGATGGAGAGAAATTATTCCCAGTCCAGATTCAGCCAGTGAAATATTTGTCCAGCTTGATGGCCAAAAATAATGTCTACGAGACGGGTCTGAGGAATCTTCTGTGCCACCTCAACACTGTCCACAGGCCCATCCTGGGTGGCTTTGGTCTCTGGTCACTCCCCTTTCCCATCTTCTTGGAAGCATTGACGGTCATGAACAAGAAAGAGGAGTTCAGCTCTACCGTCTATGGTTTCCTGGACATTTTGCCCCTGGTTAAGGAGATGATCCCCAAGAGAGATAACTACAAGCTGAAGAACTTGGCCAACACTTACCTCAGGGGGCACTTTGGTGACTGCAGCGCCATGGAGAACGCCAACATCGTGAGGTACCTGTGCGAGGTCTTGGACATCAATGTGGTGAAGAAACCCAGGCCAATTGTCAGTCAAGCCAGCCTGGAGTCCTTCATCTCCCTCCAGCCCTTGCTAGATGAGAAGTTCCTCACCAAGCCATCAGCCCAAACGTTGGCCACCCACAACATTGGCCTCTCTGAGCTCTGGTCCTTGTACCAGCGCAACCCGGAGAACGGGCTCCAGAAGGCGTGCCGTCTCATCAACGCTCGCCGGCACAACTCCGAAAAGAAAGTCCGAAACCTGAGCAAGGTCAAGGTCTATTTTCAGCGCCAGAAGACCTTTCCTACTGAAAGCCAGAAGACCTTGGCAGGAAATGATTTCCTGAGAGCCATAAAGAGCGAGGAGAAGCGGTGAAGGATGCTGGTGCCTCTCCAGTACCCGTTCCCCTCTCACCCATGGGGAATGAGTCCTGGAGCCAAATCCTGGCTCCCATCAGTAGGTCTGCCTTCAATATTTCCTGCCTGCTCTTGCCTGGGGTGATGAGTCTGGGTCTCTGAGGTGTGACAGTCTCTTACTGTCTGCTTTCGTCTGAATGCGTGCTGAGGTGAAGCGGTGAGGACACCAGCTTGGTTGGGAGATGTCCTGGCTCTGACCCAACACCCTACAGCCACACTGTGCCTTTGTTTCCCCTTTGGATGGATCAAGCCAACTCTTGGGAGAAATCTTTCAAACCGTTTCTGGTCTGGGTTTTTTTTTGGGGGGTCAATGGGATTCAAAGCCAGCTGGAGAAACAGCATGTGGGGATGGTTGTCATTGCTGGGAGGAGGTTGGGCAGAGCCACTTCTCTTCTGCAGAAGAAATAAACAATTTTCCTGATTTGTTGTGCCTTGCAAGTGGTTTCCTTTCGCTCCCCGTTCCCACAATATCCTCCTGCTCAAAAGGGCAGATGTGCAGCGTGGTGGGTGCTGTGGTGATGGGTGCTTTGCAGCGTCATGGCCCCTTGAGCCCACGACACAGCTGAGATGAACACAGGATGACCCATGTACATGAGATGCGTGGCTATCCCCGAGACAGCCGTGCGCTTGGAGACAAGCAAGAGAGCACCAAGAGGTCCTGTTTGCTCAGGGAGGTGCCGAGAAAGCCCATCCCTGTGGGAACAACCCAAGTCATTTCCCTTCGGGTGGTGCGTAGCTGTGCTGCTGGCAGCTGGCCCGTTCAGATCGTGCCAAACCAGCCTGATTCAGCCACAGCAATGGCCCAGAACTCGTGGGCATGCCACCTGGTGCTCACCTGCAACGCACCGAGCACACACACAATCCCCAGAGGCAGGGGCAAGGCAGAAATCCTTGTGCTGTCCCTAAAACCCCATGCAAGGACTCCCATCCAGAGCCATGCTCCTCCCCAGTGTCCCTTCAACACCCAAACCACTTTTCTTCCTGATTTGTAGCCTCTAACCAGCTACGAGGAAGCTCGCAGGGTGATTCAGCTGCGTCAGCCTGTCCCAGTCCCCTCCCTCTGGGGACCACGGAGGGGACAGCCTGCTGCTGAATCATCCTGGGAAACAATGGGCTGCCCAAACACCATGAGGACCATTTTACCCCAGGTCTAATAATTCAAATAATTATTATAAATAATTACTATTTATAATACCTAATAGTTCTAATATTATTCCTGATCAGGATTATTCTATTCATTATTTTACTACCCCTCATTTCAACACCAGTCCTGCCCAGGAAGCTGGTGGCTCTGGGGGACAAGTCTGCTCAGGAAACAGTTAAACAGCCACGTGTGCACAAGCATTTCCCTCCCTTCTGCTGAAATCCCGGGAGACACAAGGAAACACAAGGAAATACAAGTGGCAGCGTGGGTGGGCCAACGGTGGGGAGGCTGGGCCTGCAGGAGCAGGGATGCGGTGCAGGGCAATCAATGGGGATCTCCTCCACGATCCCCTCTTTTCCTTTTATTCTTCCACCTAATTCCAGATTAAATCTCCCCTTCTTCCTCCAAAAAATAAACTTTTTCTTGGTAGAGAAGAGCCAGCCACAGGTCCTCCATGTCCTGGAAGTGCCCAATTGCCCTTGACATGAGCAGCTTCATGAGCATCATCAGCACCTTAAAGGACAGGGGACAGGGACAAGTTTGGGCACCTGAAGAATGGGTTTGCCTTGGGAAAGTGTCACCCCCCACACCATCCCCCAGGACCCCATGATCTGGAGGTGGAACATCTGGTCCAGAGGTGGGACACATCTCTGTGGATCCTGGAGCTGGTTATCACCAAAAAATGTGAAAAAACGTGCCGCTGGCTGCACGACAAACTCAGCATCCCTCCTGTGGGCAAGGGACCCAATCCAGGACCTCATTAGAGCCCACCACGATGGGTTCCCCAGGGAACTGGGTGCTCTCAGCTGTTTCCAGTTGCCCTGACGGGAGGTATGCTGAGCATCACCTGGGCTGGGAGTGGCTGTGAGAGGTGTGGGCTATAAAAGGTCCTTGGGCAGGAGTTGCTCCTTGTGCTGGACCCTGGTAGGCAGGATGAGGCCTGGAAGTAGCCTGGGGTTTGCTCTTTTCTGCTGGGTTTTTGGGGAGGTGGTTGCTTACAATCATTGGGGCTTCATTAGAGGGGAGGCAGAGCTATGGAGGTACAGACGGGATCCTTCCTTGGGGCAGCCCCGGACCTTCTCCCAGCTCTCCCCCTGGGTATGGGTGGATGTCTCCCAGCTCCAGGCTGCTGTCCCGCTGCACCCCGTGGCTGTGCAGTGCCAGGAGGCACAGGTGGTGGTCACGGTGCACAGGGACCTCTTCGGTACAGGACGCCTGGTCAGGGCTGCGGAGCTGAGCCTGGGCTCGGCCACCTGCTTGCCTACAGTCTGGAGTGCTGCTGAGAGCACGGTGACCTTTGTAGCTGGGCTGCACGAGTGTGGCAGCACCCTCAGGGTAAGGCTGGGGGGTGCTGGAGCCCTAGGGTGGGGGTCTGCCACATGATTTCCATCTGGGTGCCTTGGGATGCTGAGATTAGCAGGGGGTTGTGGTGTGGTTGGGCTTGGGGGAAATGTTCCGAAGCCTTTTTGTAGAGGCTGAGCATCTCAGTCCACATGTCAAGGTTAGCAGAAGATGTGCTGTCTCTTCCAGGAGCTAGCTCTGGGGTTATGTGAGCATGCAAGAGGCAGAGAAATTAGTTAAAAAGAATAGAGGTATCAATCTTCTAAGACTTATGGCATTGTTGCCCCCTCCAGGGTGGAGCCCAGGTGACCTGGTGGTGGGAGCCACTGCAGCAGGCCAGCAGTGTGTGCTTATCTGGGGAGGCTTCTGGCTGCTGCTTGAGAGTAGCATGAAGCTACTGCATAGGAAACTTAAACCTGAAGCGGTCTTTCTCCCCTGGGAGAGGTCTGGGGCTATGAGGGTGAGCAGGAGCACCCCTCCCCCCACCCCCATACTCTAGCCAGAAGATATCTTCACATTCTGATATCCTGAGGGACAGACTTTACTCTCTGTTCTGGGGCATGGAAACTAGAACAAAAAAAAAATTGGCTTATACACCTCTGCATTCAGCTTGTCTGCTGACCTGGGGTGGGCTGGAGTAGCTTCCCAGCCCTGAGCATCCCTGCAGCAGGATGAGTGCTGCTCACCTGTCTCTAGCATGAATGCTGGTGGCTGGTGACCAGAAGAAACATCTCAGGAAACATCTCAGCATGGAGTCTCTAAGCTTAAATGTGCTGCTCTGTGTGTGCTGTCAACGAATGGGGCTCTTAATGGCTGGCTAATGTATCTTGTCTTTTCCTCAGGTGACCCCTGATGCTCTGATCTATAGCACGAGTTTAAATTACAACCCAGTCCTTACTGGCAACCCCGTCATTATCCGCACCAGCCCTGCTGTGGTTCCTATTGAGTGCCACTACCCAAGGTGAGCCAAGGCAGATGAGCACCAACCCAGCTCTTCTGCTACCCCAGAGCTTTTAACCACGGCCATCTCCTCCCCAGGAGGGACAACGTCAGCAGCCATGGAGTCAAGCCCACGTGGGCACCGTTCCAGTCCACCATCTCCTCAGAGGAGAAGCTGCCCTTCTCCCTGCACCTCATGAATGGTAGGTTTTGGGTGGGGGTCTCCCCTGGTGCAAGGCACCCTGAGATGGCCGTGCTTCCACTAGATGGTACAGCTGGTGCTGGTGTCACCCTGGTGCTGCTGGGGTTTGGTAGGGTTTTGGTGAGTACCCAGAGCTTTGTGCCTGTTGGGGTTTCCTTGGGTGGAAGTGGTGAACCACAAGCTGGCTTCCCATCCATGAGTGCCTGGTGGCCTGTCTCCTTCTAGATGACTGGAGTGCCGAGAGAGTTTCCACTGTATTCCAACTGGGAGAAGTTCTCCACTTCCAAGCTAGTGTCAACACAGAGAACCATGCACCTCTGAGGCTCTTTGTGGACAAATGTGTGGCCACCCTGACCCCAGAGAGGAGCTCTTCTCCCCAGTATGCTTTCATTGACTTCAGTGGGTAAGAGCTGGCTGTGTCTGTATTCAGACATGCCTTTCTGCAGGCTGTGGAGATCTTTGACAGTGGGTTCCTGCTGGCCCTTGCTTTTGTGTCTAGGTGCCTGGTGGATGGGCAACTGGATGATGCCACCTCGACTTTTATATCCCCAAGACCCAGCCAGGATGTGCTCCAGTTTGCAGTAGATGCATTCAAGTTTGCAGGAGGCTCCAGCGATCTGGTAAACCCTTCCTAAAGCACATGAACTCCCTTGTCTAGGTGGGGTTCTAGCCTTGCTCCATTAAGAAAGTTAACACAGTTTTGTCTAAATTACACTCCTCACAGCAACATAGGAATGAGGTCACCCTGTATTGTTGCTTCTGGATCATGGCCCTCTGAGCCGAGGATCTTCCTTGGAGACCAGTTCTGATACTGGTCATGACAAGCCCTTCTGATGGGCTTTGATAATGTCTTGAAGGAAGCAGAGGAGCTTGAGTTGTCCTGAGGAGTTGGTGGTCCCATTGGAGACCAGCTTCATGGTGTATGAGAAAGCCTAACCCCTCTGCTCTGCCTGGTGTCCCCAGATTTACATCACCTGCCACCTGAAGGTCTCCCTGGCTGACCAAGCTCCAGACCCTCTGAACAAAGCTTGCTCCTTCAACAAAGCCAACAACCTGTGAGTAGTTGGAATAGCAGCTTGCCCAAGGGTGAAGAGCTTGGGCTCCTCATCTGGTGTGTCACCTTCCGTGAAGGTGGGCTTGGCTAGATGGGTGGGAGGGCTTTGGTCTCTCCTAGGAGACCCCAAAGCATGTGAGGGATTCCTACCCTAGGGTGGGCTGGTCACCAGTCTTTCTTCTAGCTGGGCCCCTGTGGAAGGCAGCCAGGATGTCTGCTCCTGCTGTGAGATGAGGAGCTGTGGCTCAGCCAGGAACTCCAGGAGGCTCCATGGTCCCTCCCGATGGCAAGGAGGACGTGCCCGGAGAGAGTTACCCTCCCAGCCTGGTAGGTCTCAGTCTGCTTCTTGGTCTTTGTCACCATCACAGTGACTTGCTCAGAGCAGGGGTGGCTGGAGCTGCCTCACTACCTGTTGGCTCCTCAGTGCTAACCCAAAGCTTGGGAGAGGCTAGATGTTCACCCAAGCTTGTGAGTGCTCAAAAGTCCTCCCTTTCAGATCCCTTGGTGAAAGAAGCAGATGTGGTGGTTGGACCTCTCTACATCCACAGCTGGCAGGATCACCCAGGCAGGAGGATGCCTTCAGGAGGTAGGGCAGACCCAGGGAAGTGGGGTGGTGGTTCATGTGGCAGGTCCTGGCCCTGGTCATAACCACCTCTCTCTTCTCCTTCCTAGATGCAGGTCACTTGTGGATGGTGTTGGGGCTGGCTGCAGTTGCTGGTTTGGTGATCCTGATTCTTGTTCTTCTGGGGGCTCTGACTGTCTGCCGGAAACACAGCAATCCTGTTTAAGTCACTGGTTTCAACTTTTATAGTCTGTGCAATAAAAAAAAACAAATGGAAGGACTGTGTGAGGCTTGGTGGGGGGAGGGGAGAAGTCTTCCTGGAGCATGAGCTAATCAACTCTCCATGCTGAGTTTAACTGTGGTGCTTTGTCTCCCTAAACCCAACATTGGTGTCTTGCTTTGCTGAAGCCCTCTCCTCAGCAGAGCTTTGTACAGCCTTTCACCCGCCCTGAACCTCATTGGCAACTGATGCAAAAAAAATTACCCTCCAGATGCTGTTTTCTTGTCGCTAGAAGTGTGGAGCTGTGTTTAGGCTCAAAACACTTTACCTTTCCCTGGAGCTACTTCAGTCTGCTCCATCCTGGTAACTCTTTACTCAACCAGCCATGGGGACCTAAGGGTTTAGTGAAACCTACACCCCTCTCCTCCAGCCTGAATCTGCTTTTGGGAGCAAAATCCATCTTTGCTGAATGAGGAAGGGAGCGCAACTCAAGGGTCGGTGGGTTGGGCTCTTCCTGGGCCAGACAGAGGCAGGAATTCCAGTTCCTGCCCCAAGGACTGTTTACACATAGTTGTACGTAACAAGCCTTGGCTGAAATGTATAAACAGTCCTTGGGGCAGGGACTGGAATTTCTGCCCCCACTTCTCCCCCCTCCAGAAAGGGGCATTCTGATGTGCCTGAGTCACAGTTGCTTTTTCCTTCTGTTGCTACAGAACTTGGGCTCTTCTGCTCAGCAGAGCCCCTGTAATAAGGGTGGGATGGTCCTGCCCAAGGCCTGGTGCTCCTCACGGTCTGGGAGAGGTTTCCACGTTAGGCAGCAGTGGGAACTGGACCAGCTGAACATCTTGGGATGCAGTGTTTGTTGTCAGAGCAAATTCAGGTGGCTGGGCTCACAGAAAACTGAGATGCGTGGGGAGCTTGGGCTTGCTTGCAGTGTAGCCACCTCTTGAGTTGATTTTGCAGGGGCTCAGGATGTGAAGGACTTCTGCACCCTCTTAGCTTGCTCTGGGGGAGCTTGGGCAGCTCTTGGGATTGTGAGGGGTGGGGGGAAGTGGTGTATTGCCCAGCCTGGCCTGTTTTTAGTTGTCATCCACCACCCTGGAGCCCCTCAACTGGATGCCCTTGGATAGATGTCACCTTGGGGTGACATCTCTTTGGAGCTGAGACTCCAGGTCCCTTAAAACTCAGTCCCATCCCTTCCCTTGGCTCCTCAGGGTTCTAAAGGCAAATTAGCCCTCTCTCAAAATTACAAGATTAGTTCAGGGTTGGATCAGGGAGCTGTGCTGGTTTTGTGATGGGGTTATCAAGTGTGGCTTCTTCCTTCATCCAGATAATCTGACCCTTGCTGGAAGGGGTTGGTCTTTGTCTTGCAGCAAGGTGGGATGTAGGAGCTTCTATGGGGAATAGCTGGGAGAAGTTTTCCACCCCCTTAATGCTGTGAGCTGTATGCTTTTGGGGCAGAAGGAGGAGGACATGGGAACATGGGTGACAGTGACCTCAAAAGCTCTCCAGCACAGCACCAGCTGTCTCAGCCCTGTGTTGGCCTGGCTGAGGCTGGTGATGTCCATGGATGGAGATCCCCCACCTCTGCATGCACAACCCTTCTGGAGAAGAAGTATTTCCTTACCTGAATCTCCCAGACAAAAAGCTGGGGCTGCTGGCATGTGTTAATTCTTCATATGATGGATTCCTTCTTGCTCAGCATCTTCTCTAGATGTTCAGTGCCCCACCCATCCCTTGACCCACCTGCTCTGAGCAGGGATGGTCTCTCGGGTTTGCTGAGACACATAGAGTTTTGGATGAAAACCCCTCTCTGTGCTGCCCTGCAGCCATTCAACCCAAATACCTCCGCTGACTCCAGGAAGGAAGACAAATATCAGCCAAACCTAGTCTACAAAGAAATTGGGGATGGGGAAACACTCCCTGGCTTTCCAGACCAGCCGCCCCCCTCCAGCAGCTCCTGCCCCTTCCTGGCAGCATCCCCAGCTCCAGCGATGCTCAATGGCAGCACTGACCTCACTCTGTGAGGGGAGCTTTGTGACTTAAAACTTTATGTTAGAAGGAAAAATGAGATGGGCTTTAAAGTCTCCTTCATGCAATGGGGGAAAACCACTGGGTTGGTGTTTGTCCTGTGCCCTGGGACTTTCTGGTCTCTGCCTCCTCCAAAAAAATGAGCTCACGCCCTTTCCCAGCCATGCCGGCCCATGGCCAGTATGTTGTGCTTGGAATGAAGATGGGCCAGCTGGTTCTGGGAGCAGAAATTCCCTTTTTCATAGAGAAACACCACCTCCACCCTGCACCCTGAGCCTGGATGTGTTTCTCCACCTGGGATCCCCCACTGTTAATTTGAGCTGTGTAAACACAAGGTGATCCGTCAGAGAGATTTATTCTCCTGCTGGGATCAAGCCCTGGTACCCAGAGACCCTGGACCTGCCCCTGGAGCTGCATCTCTCTGGGAGGCGATGGGGTGAGAGCAGGCATCTCCCGCGGTCCTTGCAGCCAAGGACCTGGCCGAGCGGTGATGCTCTCCCTGGGGAGGGGGTCAGCTGCTTATTTACTGATTCAGCATCGCCTACGCCTTATCTCCCTGACGCACGGGGCTCAGCCCGCTGGAATCCCTGGCATTTCGATGCAAGTGCCAATCTCAAGGTATTTTAAACACAGAGGCAAAGTCCTGGACCCGCTGACAGCAGCAGAGAGGGGCATCGGCTCTGGGGGGAAAGGCGGAAGGTTTCCGCTGGCCCAAAAAGCTTCACCCGGGTGGGTTTGGAGGATGTTGAGTCAGGCACAAAGCAGTCCCAGCTCCAAACCCACTGAGATTTCTTCTAGGAGCAGGCTGGCCAACATCTGCCCTAAAAAACTTTCTGTTTCTTTTCATTTTCCCAGAAATGCCTCAGCCAATCCGGCTCAAACATCCACAACAGAGGCTTTCTGCTGCCCCTAATGCTTGTCAGGGGCATCCTGAAAGATGGAGAAAGATTCAGGGTATGAAATGGAGCATCCCTCGTACAGAGCATCCCTTGTACAGAGCATCCCTTTTGCAGAGCCCTGGCAGGGAAAAAAGTTAAAAACACTCAAAAGAAGGGACAGAAGCCCCAGTAACAAGGCTTGAAAACACCCAGGGTTTATTTTTAAGCAACTTTCCCTGTTCTCCAGCTGTAAGGAGCCAGACGAGGCTGAAATGGAGGCTGCTTGGCCCCGGCTGAGAATGGCCACACTCGTGTCAGTGGTGAGTGTGCCCCATCAGCTCCTGCTGACTCAACATCTCAGTCCCTGAGGGATGCAGGGAGATGCTTAAAGCCCCAGTTTGGGCTGGAACCATGAGCATGTGGGCTGTGGGCCCTCCCAGTACATCAGCATCCGAGAGGAAAACCAAAGTCCCAGGGGGGCCGATGGCATCAGGCAGGGCTGGTCCCCGTGGGGGTGGGGGGTGCGGGAAGCACCCAGCTTGGGATCACGGCCCCTGGTCTCCCCGCTCGTGTCACCTCCCCAGCAGCCTTGAAAAAACCCCTTATCACCTTCTAACCTAAACAAGTCACTTCGTACCCGTCTCCCTGTCTCCGGCTTCTGCTGAGTTTTCTAAACAATTTCCCCAAAGAGGCTGACGAGGATGTTTGCTCTTGCCTTGGGCAGCCCAGGAACAGGGGGTCCCGGCACCCCGGAAATGCCTGGGTCGTGCCTTTCCTCTCCCTGCACCCCCGAGGGCTGGCCTTTGGGTGCCATTGGTCCCCAAACGGGAGCCCGGGGGCGGACGGCTCCTGCTCCTGGGGGGGGATATAAAGGCTGGAGGAGCAGCCCCAGCTCTCTGTGCACGGGGCTGGCTGGAAAGAAGGAGGGATGGGACCCGAAAGCGGCTTGATTCTCACTCTTCTCTGCTGGGCAGCGGGCGAGGTGGCTGCCTACCCACCCTGGGATTTCTCCTGGGGGGACTTGGCGAGCCAGTGGTCACGGGCAGACCCCCATTCTTGGTCTTGGGTGGAGAACCCCCACTCTCAAGCCATGTCCAGCCAGCAGCCGGTGACGGTGCAGTGCCAGGAGGCTCAGCTGGTGGTGACAGCGAACAGGGACCTCGTC